AGGCATGTCCTCCCCTCCGTGCTCTAGAAAAGCGTTGCAGCATCTGCAACTTCTTGGAAACCACCTGGGCACGCGGGCTTCGAAGGGCACGTGAGCACAGCTCCAATGGCGTTCGCCCGCAGTCTCTGGGGTTGTACAGTGGTGAAGCACTGTTCGGTTTCACATTCCTTCCAGAAAAAAAGGTGCACTGCTTAGTCTTATTTTACCCTAAATACCTGTTAGCAGTAGCTCCACCAACATTTTCCACAAGGGAAGAACACACTGAAAAGAACGCTGTAGCCACCTCATGCTATAACGTTTTATTTATTGGCTTGTTTAACCTATTCCCTTGAGCTCTTGTAACTCTACCAGAATCTTAGTCATGAAAGAAAAAAAGGCAATAGGATTTAAAAAACCACAATTCTAGCTTTTGTATCAAGTGTCTTACAAACTGTACCACTGAATGCTCTCTAACAGTGGGCAATATGTTTTGTAAAATGAAACAACACAATAACCAAGGGAAAGGAAGGTTTTTCAGATGACATTTGAAAATGCTGGGGGCGGTGGTTCAGTGAGGAAACAACAGAAGAAGAAACAGGAGATCAGTGGCAGAGTAGTTTAAAAGTTTGTTTATATAAGAAAATGTAATAGCTCTCTGGAGACACCTTACTGTGGGATAAAAGTTATTTTATTCCAGAATTACAAATTCACTTTAGAAGTGCGTTAGTTATTCTGGTACAAAAATGATTCAACTTCTGCCGGAACGCCTCTCCCGGAGAGCTTGTCCTAACAAAGGACCTCTACTGCCGATGGTCCATCTCTGCAGACATATGCCCCAGCAGAAACCGTAGGGAATAAAACCACAAATGGAGGTTTCATGAGGTCACCTGCAACAATATTTTTACTTTTAAACAAAAGGGCAGCTTTCCCCATTCTTGTTTAAATGTATGACAATCCATTATATTAATATTCAGGAGGGAGGAAGCGGGGAGAAAGGCAAAGCCATTCGTATTGGACCTGTGGAGCTGCACTGTTCTTCCAATGACTGAGCCTAGACAAGCAGGACTTGCAGTCTGCAAAATGGACGCTGAAGTATGGGGAATTCCCACAAAATCTTTTTAAGCATCTTTAGCTTCATTAAATAGCTTCTATTATACTCAAACTGGGACCACTTTTTACTATTATTTTACTCAAATTAGGCATAGTCTGCAGAAATTACAAGAAAAATCAAGGCTAAAATTAACATAATGATTAAGCACTTCACCCAGCCTATGGGTCAGACATTATATATTCTTTTGCAGATTTTTGGATTCTTGACAGTCTCCCCCTACTTCAAAAGGAAAAGGTCAAAATGGCAGAGGGGGGAATAAAAATCCAGTATTTTAGGACAGACACACTGAGCTTCTGATGCAAGTGCAGCACCATTATATGCATGCCCCATGACCCAGAAAACACATCCAGGTTCGGTCTGAGCAGACCCTGAATACCACAGCTGGTTTGGGAACAGAGTGCCCAGACTTACAGAAGCTTCCCTGTGCATTCCACTTCCAAATTTGGCAAAGGCAATCTTGGTCCCGCATTTCACAGGTACCAAAATTAATATTCTGTTCTCTGA